TTTTGCTTCGTAAATTGGGACGTTGTTTTGACTTGGGGATGGCTTCTAAGAACCTGGTGTTGGCCTGAAAACAAGTCATGCCCGTTTGGTTAAAACACGAAGCCTCCACAGAAAGTCTGTGGGTAAATAAAATTTGATCCTGGCTCGGTAACAGTCTGTGAATATTTCCCATCAGTTTCTCTCAGAGTCGGACTGTTATGCAGAATTTTCCATTTGTTTTAACTTTTAATAGGGAATGGAATGGTTCTGCTATGGTAATAAACAGAAACTATACCCCGCTTATATGGCGCTCTTTGTCCCTTCAGATCCCCTTTGTTAGGTGATGGAGTTACAGACTGAAATCTCTTTCTGGAGAAACCCAGCCTGCTTTGGGACAAGGAGCTGACCAACAGGACACACAGCAGGCAATGCGTGTGGACCGTCGTGCTTTCTGGGGTGTGAAAGGGCAATTTGGCCCATGACATCAGCACTGATAATCAGGGCCTCGTATGCTCAGACGTGCCAGGTCTCAGGCAAAAACAAGCCCATGACTCCCCATACCACCCCACCCCACCCCACACTTCCCAAGCCTTCATCAACATCTGACCTGTGGGATCTCAGCCTAGGAGCCAACTTGGAACAAGATCCCGAAGCAAAAGAGGGGCAGCGACCACCTCTCTGCAGGTCACACCACCAGGGTGGCATTCCTGAACAAACAGCTGGTGCCTCTGGATCCATCCTGACCCCATCTCATATGGCCAGTGAGGTATACGGAGGGGAAAGGGGTTACATAGGTTTGTCCCTTGTCCCCGAATATATCACCTGACATCATATGGGAGTCTTCCACTTCAGGTTTCTTGACCAACCAGTGTGCTTTGTAACACCATGGAACCAAGTAGTGAGGCGAGGACACCTAAATCATGTACACAGAGTGTGTTTTCCTACCCCCAGATACTCGTGACATAAAATTAGTCAGTGATTATTTTTCAAGGCAGGTTTTCCACTTCGTCTTCCAACTGGCTGCTCTCCTAAGCTTGTGATAGTGTCCAAGAAGTCCAGTACAGGATGACCTTCCAATATAGGTCACAGAAAAGGGAGCTCGTAGGAAACTTCAGCAGCTCATCCTCCTTAGCACTGCCTCTTGCGGTAATTTGCTGGCAGCAAAGCTGGCAGTGCTGTGTAGCTGGTCCCTGCTGCCCTTTGGCTGCAGGCTGATTTTTTTTGTATGTACTTATCACCCTGACCCGGCTGCCTCAGAGGGAGGTGACAAGAGAATGAGTAAGCAATCGGCTTATTAGGTCATTTTTGAATATAGCTAAGACTCCTGTGATTTCTGCTACAAACCCATGGTTTTATATGCCAGTCATACATATCTGAATGTAGCTCATTTTCTCAGGTGCACCCTCTGTCTAACAAGAATATTGCCAGGCCAGTTGCATTTGAAAAGGCTGGGGTGAAATACAAGCAGCAGGCCTTCAGATCAGGTGGTATTAACTAGATCTTTCAGACCTTGTTGCTCTTCCTCATTGGTATAATTCAGAGCTTGCTTCAGGCTTCAGGTTAGGGCCGGACCAGACACCTCTGAACTTCTATAAAATTTTGGCAGATGCTTCCCGTGCAGCCACAGTATAACTTTCAATGTGGTTGTAGCAGGTGAAAGTCAAATTTTGGTGATATCTGAATTAAACAGGCATCTTCATCGTGAGGGTGTTCCTGGGATACCTATCTCTTGCTGTGCTGTTCCATTTTATATAATAATAAGCTCTTTTTTTGGCTCTCTGTTACTGCACTTCAGAACTTAAAATGCTCACCCAAGGTGCAAGGGAGGAGGTTCAAATCCCTCTGAATGCAGCCGAAGAGGGACTTGACCCTGGGTCACTCACATCCCAGGTTAATGCTTTATTGTTATATTACTGGCTATTCTCCTGACTCACTCACACTTTTAAGCTTGGCCTGAGATTCCTGTGCTTCAGGGAATCCTCCCTAGATGAGCTTTGCTGAGTTGCATCCAGTTTCTGGATTTCTTTTCTCAAGGTAGGAGCTCAGCTCACTGCATCTCGCAGCTGAAACGGAGATGTCTGCAGCATCCCCTCACCCAGTGCACACCTCTGGGTATGGGAAGCAGTAGTTTTGCTCAACACAAGTTTCCATGTTTGCAACATTTCCACCACCCCTCCCCGAGACTTCTGCTGTGTTTTGTTGTTAACGTTACCGCATTCCTAACAAACATGAAACTGGTTCCAGTGGATCTAAAACAACATGCCTAAATGCGTGCAGTTACTTATTTAAATCTTGCTCCGCTGCCAAATTATTTATTTCATAGGCTCAGCATGGTGGCATTAGCTATCCTGATCTCTTCCTCCAAAATGATTTTCACTGGGTTTGGTAGGTTACTCCGCAGGTTTGGGATTTGGCAGGATAACAACCAAAGAGGCATCTTCAAAGGATCAAAAAGAATCAGAGCAATTTTACTCACATCAAAAGCTTGGCAGCGTGTCAAGAGGTGTTGGGGATGCCAGTCGGTCCCTGTGTACAGGCAGGAGGAGCGCACATGGGCTGACATACTGTAACATGAGGCAGGAGGCAAGGGAGGCTACACCGCCCTTTGTACATCACCCTGGGTAGGATTAAGATATAATTGACAGAACATCGCCACTTAAACATCTTAGCCGCTTTTAAGATATTCAGCAGCTTAACAATGGGCAGGAATCCTACGTCTCCAACCACAGTTTTCCTTTCTTCTCCATTACCCGACGCATTTTTCTAATTGTGCTGAGGGATTTGCTAAGTTCTCTGTCAGAGGGCATCCAGGATTTCGTTTGTAGCCCTACCGATACTTAAGTGAAAAGTTGTACAAGCACCAGAAGATAATCAACTCAGTATTTTGACTTAAAGGAGACGATCTGTCATATGCAAGCCATCATATATAATGTGTATATTTGTATTCCCTCCATTTGGTTTGCCAAGGCTGTAAAATTATATTTGCAGAACACAGCACGTGGGTTACTGAGCCTCCTCCGTCAGTCGGGCTGCAGGCCAGCCCCGGCGCAGCCTGCACGGTGCATTTGCCCTCGCGGCGCTGTGCAGGAGGTGCTGTGTGCTGAGCCTCGCTGCGTTTCACCCTGCTGCCCTGAGACTCGGGCTGGGAACTGGCCTGGGAAATCCTCCGGGCTTCCAGTGACAGACACAGGGCGAGGGAGGTGGGAAGGGCTGGTCGGCTGGAGGGAGCTGCCGGAGCAAGGGCACGGCGTGCTGCTGCCCTGAAAGCTTGCTTTCCCCCTCGAAATGACAGCTGCACATACCTCCGGGGGAACTGTGCCGAAGTCGCTGCAAGGAGAAGAGAAAAAAATCTGCCAGGGGTGAGGGGGGACAAACCCAGCTGGTATTGCAGCCTCTCTGCTTAAGAGACAGCAGCAAACGAGAGTGGAGCATGTGGCGGCACAAAATGCCCCACGCTGAAGGGACGGGATGATTTTCCAAGTAGTGGAAACTGGGGTGAGGATGGGGTTAAATCCATGGTCTTCTCTCACAAAGCCTGTGCAGAATTTTACACACTAAACTCTGTTTAAGCACAACCCATCGTCTAAAGCAAATGAAAAGAGCAGCTCTACTATTTGCACATTTTGCACACACACACACACAAAACAAACAAAAAATGGGGCTTGTTCCTCGCATTTGCTCGAGACCTTTTTTCTTATTGGTTTTAGAAGCTGAGTATTGGAAGGATTCATTACTTAGTTCAGGTATTTTTGCTTGTCATGGTGGGTTTTACCTCGTAGTTCCTTACTGAGGTAGACCTGTTCCCTGCCTTCACCTGACCCTTCTCTGAAAATCAAGCTGCTCCCACAGGGCTGAAATAAGAGTTTAGGCCTGGCTTCATCTCACACACTTCAGGCACTTCGATGCACTTCAGGAGCTGAGTAGCACTTGATGAAGAACTTCACCTCCCTGTGGGGCTGCCCACTGCGGCCTGCGGAGCACAGGAGCAGCCTCGGTAGGGCCATGTTTTGCTGTAACATCACCCATAGCTGCTGGGTGTCCCTCAGGTGGGCTTCCCTCCTGGTGTGTGGCATTGCTAGGAGAGCCGAGCACTTGTACTATAAAAGCAGGGTCTGTTTCGGAGGAGGATAAAGCTTTTCGTCCTCGTTCTGGTGCTGTGGAAGTGGGGGGCCACCAGCACTAGCACCCCCTGGGTTGCAGAAGGAGGCTCAGGACAGTCTCTGGTTCCCTCAGCCCTTGTGGAGACCTTTTAGGTGGTCAAAGCACAGCAGAAATCGGAGGAGGAGGGCTGCTAGGAGGAGGGGCTGATGTCTATCTTTTGGTGATGTCTACCGTTTGGTAATGTCTACTTCTGCTAGTGGTATAGGGCACAGCATGGAAACTTTGATGCTGCTCCGTGATTGCGGTATAGATAACTGGAGTGATTAGGGACAGAGCAGATGTGTCATTGGTAAAGGTGGATGGGTGGCCTTAATTAAAAGAAAAAAAAAAATCTTTTCTACTCTGTATTGCTTTGCCATGCCATTCAGTGTCCCTTGAGAGCTTATTTGACCCCCAGCAGACCTGCTTGCTCTCCTGATTTTGTGGGGAAGCTGAAAGGCAAATTAGTGGCCCTAATTCCTTGCCTTGTGCTCTGTATGACTGATCTTATAAGTCTTCCCCACCTCCCAGGTTTAATTAGCTGTAATTTTGATTTATGCCATTATTTGCATAGAAGGTACAACAGATCAGCTCCTCCTAGGGAACAGCAACCTGTAAACATAAACAAAGAGGCTTTTGTCAGCTATTAATGGAAACATTGATTAATCTCCCATTGCTTTGGTAGCCTGCCGAAAAGCTCGTAAAGCAGCAACTAAATTGTTCATTAAACTGGCCATGCTGTAAGTGCCAGGACGTGAATGCCAAATGTATGTTGAGTGCCTTTCAGCTGCGTGGTGCCTCCAAGAGGAAATACAAACTCCTGTTAGCACACTGCTGCATTGCTGGAGACCTTCCTAACATGGTTTTCATTTCCTTTGCAGATGACACCAGCTCAGGAAAGAACAGCCAGGTACCTGAAGGTTCGAATGGAGAATATGAAGATCACTCTGGGAAGCAATGGGGTAAGGAGCAGTGTATATTTTACCTTGGTTCCTGCTTCGGTGCTGTTCACCCAGCACATTTCTCAGTCACAGAAGGAAAGGAAAAGGCAGAGCAATTGGAATGAGTTCTCCTTACAGATGCTCAAATAATAAACAGAGTCTCAGCTGAATGTTGGTGTGAATGGATCCCATCCAAGCGTCCTTCGGCGAAATACAGCCCATCATCTGCTCTAGAGCCCCCTGCCTTATACCCCAGCATGGTTCTTCTTTGAATTTGTTTTTCTGGGCAGTGACTTTCCTTCGCATGTGCAGCTATTACAGCTTTCATAGACTCTCTGTAAAAGGTATATTGACTTTTACAGCAATATTTCCAAAAGTCTTCAGTGCCAGCATAACACCGCTCCCACTGAGGGCAAATGGGAGGTCTGACTTCACTTCATCAGAATTAGCATTAGGCCAAAGCTGAGTATTTTTGAAAACTACCCTCTCTTTTAGACACCTGCATGAACTTCTCTAAATCCCAGACTGTTCAAACATAGGATTTTGATGCTGTTGCGGAGCTTTGGGGAACTGCTAAAATCTCTCTTGGAACAGGCTGTGAATCACTGCAAGACTCACAGATCCAAAGTTTGGCCCAAGCACTCCTTTAAGGACAATAAGTTGTCAGACTGATGCCAAACAGCTTTTGGCCATTACTGACAGGAGCATGATGTGAGTTTATGACCCCAAGGGATGAAGTACAGCATTTCCATTTTGCTCCCGCAGTTCATCCCTCCTTTGAATTTTATAACACAGAGACGGCTTTCTCCCACGTTCGTGGCAAGTGAGTAACCTCATAGCAATGGTAAGGGTGGAACCTGTCAAGCTGTCACCAGATGAGTCCCCACCACTTGAACCGAGGCCAGTTTCCTTCAGGAGTTGGCAAACAAAGGACGTGGTGTGCAGTGTAGTGTAGTGCAGTGTAGTCCAGTCCAAAGCTAAAGGAGGCAGTGCCATAATAGCCTTGAATTACAGATTCATCTGAGCCTGAGTATGCTCTGAGAGAGGAAGGTAACCTCCGCTCATTCTGGAAAAGGATAATAACATTTTAGAGCTAGAGAAAGGATGACTCAGGTAAACTCCTAATCATGAGGCCATCAGAAGGGATTCATTAGCCCACAAGAAAAGTTGCCATCTCTCTATCCTTCATTACCCTGGTGGAGATAGGAATAGATACTGAAAGTCATGATAGATGTGCAGCTAGGAGAGCTGGTGGATGACAGATCAATACCACAACGACATTGCAATAAAAGATGTATTTATTACTAAAATTCATAGGCAAGCATGTCCTCATAGTAGATTGTGTTGTCCCTGTGCTGTCTTGGCCCAGGTTTTTACAGTGCTGTCTTAAGGGCGTTCAGTGTGTGTCTCGGGGGTCTCAGGAAGAGAATGGGTGACAGAGCAGTTTGTGTTTGCAGAGTCCTGGACCCTAGAGAAGTGGGAGAGGAGAAGCATGGTGATAGTCCCACTCTGCTTTCTAGCTACCATCATGGAATGAAATTACCAGGGAAAGGACCTTCCCCACAAGAGCAGGGAAAGTTAGATACACCCATTCTATGAAAGATCAAGCTCTTATTCAAAAGATTAGAAAGTATTTCAGTACTTAATAATACCATGTGTTTTTTTGTGTGTAAGTATTATGAAAGCCTGAAGTGGTATTGACCATCTCTATGTGGTGGTAATCATGGCAGATCACAGCAGACTACATATTTTAGTTAACCACTTAAATTGTTTTTTTGCTTTGTATGAGCAATATCTGACAGGAGCCTCTAGGACTAATCCATGCACCTCAAGGTGTCATCTAGGGAGAGAGGAGACCACTAACCTCCTTCACAGGTCTTTGTGCTGACAACCTTCTGCTTCATTTCGTTCTCATTAGCTTGAACCTTCATGGTAAACAGATTTCAGCAAGAAACCCGTACACAACACTGTGTCTTTGTCCCCATCCACTTGTGTTTTCCCTTGCTCTTGCGTGTGGCATAATTTATACTGTACAAATGTGCAGTTCATGTTTATGAAGCAAATGCCAAGTGATGTGGAGGAGAACAAGAAACCAAAGTATAAATAACACAGAGGCACTTTGTAATGGCCTTCTCTGGCACTCCAACAAGCAAAACTTCTGTAAATGGTACAGATTTGGGGACAGACATTTACTAGCACCAACTCAAAGGAGACTTTTTCTGTCTCTCTCACAGTGCTGCTTCTCCCTCTTTCTCCTTTGTGCTTGCTGGGTCTCTTTTTCTCTTGTATATGTGCGTGTGTCTCGTTCTCCTTTTTTGTTAACTGGCCTTTTTAAACTTGTCCAATTCAGCTTTTGTCACGGAAACATTCAGGACTGTTTAAATGGGATCTGGTTTCAGCGTATTGCATGCAGCCTGGAGTAGCTTTTGAGAACACATAATCGCTTAACCTTCTCTAAACAGAAGAAGAAAGACAGAAAGAGCCCAAGGAGTTTAGCTTTACCTGCAGCTTGGTGTGCATCTGGGCAACATTGCATGAGAAGTGAATGCAAAGCTTCAGATTCGTGGGAGTGACAGTGTGAGAAAAAAAAAAGAAAAAGAAAAAAAAAGTTACAGGCCTGCTTTAGAAGATAGAGTTTCTGTTTTGGAGTGCTATTACTGAGCAGGGAGACCATGTCCTTCTGAAATATTGCCGTGGAAGGAGGGAAGAGATAAGGGAATGCCTCATCTTAGAGTCACTCCCTTGACTCTGCTCCACACGGACAATATAAAGGACTGTCCTATTTCAACCAGCTCTTTCGTATGTTAATCCCAGGCCAGGAATCCTATCCTGCAGGGATCTACCTGGGCCTGCAGCCCCTGGTCTCAGAGTAAATTATTGCCATATTACAGAATAACCATTTAGATCCATTTCCTGGCTGGTTCCTAACCCCTCCTTCACGCCTTGCAGACATTCACTCTGTTTCTCCACTGACAGCCCCTATCAACACATCTCCCTCGGCTCGGACTTAAGCATCAGCGAATCAATGCTCATAATGTGCAGCCCTGATGGGGTTAATCGTCTCTCTGGGAGGGTGATTGTTTTTGCTGGGCAGGGGCCTCCTCCTGCAGCAGATCCTCAAGGGAATACCCAGGCGTGTAGGCCCGGCGAGCTGTGGAGTGGGTCAGTATGTCACACTTGCTGCTCAGCTGTCATGGCAAGGATTCGCAGTGCCGGAGTTGCTCCAGTTCATTAGATTACACATGAAAGCCTCTGCACGGAGAGCAAAGCATTTCTGAGCAAGAGTTTGAAATAACATGAAATGGCTGGGACCCAAAACGACAGCCAAAGGGGGCAAGAGAAGGCTGTGGAGGCAGATGGCTTCTCCTACAGAAAGGGACTCGGGGAGAGGGGTATGCCAAAGGGTGTCTTCTTCCAAGAGGGAGGGACGTGGGTCAAGGCTGCAGCGGGGTGAGACCACCAGGGGTTACATTCACAGACCTCAGAGGCAACGGCTGCAATTCTCTGGTGTGTGGAGGGGGGAAACTGCAGAACAGCCTCTTTCAATCAAGCAAAACTCCACCATAATGCACATCCCAAAGCTCCTGGCTTGGCCTTGGTCAGCAGGGCTGGCTCTGTAATAGGGAGTCCTGCTGTCCTGTCCTGTAGCAAACTTCCCTGATACCTGCAGCATAACCTTCCAGCTTGTTTTGGTGTGTCATGTGTGACTGAGGCTGTGGATCTGCAAGTGCTGTAGGTGAATATCAGTGGCTGATGGGCATAATCCAAACCAATATGGCACAGAGCAGGCCAGTTGTCAGCTATTTTTTAATTTCACAAGCAAAGGATTTGGGAGGATTTACCAGGGAGTAGGAAAATGCAGGGTCACCACCCTCTGGGGCTGAAAAGAAAGATTATAGTAAGCAAAAGCAGGATACAAAAACAGTGAGAGAAACGTGTTATAGAGCTGCCAAATGGACTTGGGAGAGACTGGCTTTGTCAAAATAAGAAAGAAGAGAGGTGAATTAGGCAGGAGTATTTTGGAAGCAGAGGGAGAGTGCCAGGTGGCACTCAGAAGAGGTGTTAATCTCAGCAGGAGACTGTGGTTAGAAGTGCCCCTGTACTGACATTGCATAACTAAGGTAACTTTAGGAAATTTGTAAATTCTTTTGAATTGTTCTTTCCATGATACTATTAGAGAAGCTTTTGCCTTGCAACTAATCAGATACTATTGTTTTAACTGTCTTAAAACCTTTTGTAAAGAATATTTTCTTTCTATTGATTAGTTAGACCAACTCATAACTTTATAGGAAGATCTTCTCCAATATTACTAACACTACCAGGGTGTAAAGATGTCATCTCTTTTCTCCCTGGAATTTTTACATAATCTGAATTAAAGTTAGGTGCAGTTGGGAGTAAAACTTTTTACTTGTTTTTTTAGATATTGCCAAATGGGGACCTCACAATTTTCTAGTGTTCTTGCCACTGCTGCTAGAAATATTGGTGTTTTCCTTACTAAATGAAGGTAACTTTATCTTAACCTGTGGTTTTCTCCACCAGCAACTATTGCTTCAGCTTCTCAGTTTCGGGGATGGACAGGCATGGGGGTGTCTTCTAATCACAAACTCAAGTTTTGTTTTATTGGATCTTTCCATTTGTTTACTTATTTCTTTGTGCCTTTCAACATGAATGCTTTAAAAATTAATGTTGAGTGAATCTCATACATTTTAGTTCAGATCAAAGTTTAAAAGTCTGGCTCACTTCTAAGACTTTGTTACATTTTGAATAGAAGTTCCATTAAAGCCAGTGAGAACTAAGAAGCAAAACACATCTTCAGAAAATGAAGCTTCAAGTGACAAGCAAAAGATTGAGACAATGGTCAGCCCAACAGGAATCTGAGTTTTTTCCTTTGGTCTTGGCTAAGGGCTTGCATTTGTGGCATGGAATATGGTAACAATTACAATGTGATTATGGGGCTGCGTTTTGCCTTCAGCTGCACTAGCGTGATTTTGGTATTATTTTGTGAGATGTGACTCACTCAGTTGCCTTATGGAAACGGAGGAATTCCAGGGTTGTACTGTGCAAAAGGCTAACGTGGTGCTCCTTGCAGTCCACTAGACATACAACTGCATCTGACTGAAGGGTGCTACGTAACTTGGTTTGAGATAGAATATGAGGTATGGTGACATGCTGGCATGTGTGGTGCTGCCAAGTGCTTCTCAAGCAATTTGGCATAGCACCTGATAGAAGTATTCTACTTTATATGTCCTTTTCTCACCACAATCAATTGTCCTTGCCTTTTGCAGCCCAGCCCAGGTTCACGCAGCCTGCCAAGATGAGACGGAGAGTGATCGCCCGTCCTGTCGGCAGCTCCATCCGCCTGAAGTGCGTGGCCAGCGGGAACCCACGGCCTGACATCACGTGGCTGAAGGACAATAAGCCCCTCACGCCCCAGGAGATTGGGGAGAACAAGAAGAAGAAGTGGACGCTGAACCTGAAGAACCTGAAGCCAGAGGACAGTGGGAAATACACCTGCCGAGTGTTTAACAAAGTTGGAGAAATCAACGCAACATACAAAGTTGAAGTAATCCGTAAGTGCAGCCTGGGGTGCAAAGGTGGGGAGGGAGATTTTGGAAAGGGGCTGGCTGAATAAAGAGTGTGGTTGCAAGGATGCAGTGCTGACAGCTGGATGTAGACATGGGGATGCATTAGAAGTATCAGCAGAAATCAACAGTGAAAACTTTTTTGAAGCTCTAGAATAAGGGACAAAATGAGAACTTACTGAGAAGGCCCTTCACAGAGGGCCACAGAGAAAGGTAGAAACATTTAGGATGGCCCAGACTACTTTTTGAGAGGGGTAGTAGGGTGAAACTGATCAACTGAAAAATTAGGCTAGATATCTGTAATAAGAGGCCCACTTCATTAGAAAAGTCTCTGAAGAGAATTAGCAGAAATCTTATGACTAGATCGATTAACCAAACAAGGCTTTAGGGCCAGGTTTTTAAAAGCATTTAGACATCTGATAGTTCAGGTGGGTTCAAATGAGATATTAAAAAGAGTTTAAAATCCCACTAGAGTCCTGTATGTATCTTTAGATTCAATCCTTAGAAGATAAGCTCTGGAGGATTACCCTGCTTTGTGGTGAGGTAGAGTAAATTGCTCTTCTTACTGTCTAGCTATTCTGATTTTTGGTCCCCAATTTCCTGTTCCTCCAATTATTACTGAAGATAATTATACTCAAAGCCTACCTAAGTCTTCCAGAGAAGAACTCTTACTCTTAAATCATCATGCTTTGTCTGTGACATCATCATAAGTTACCATCGAAATGATTATGGAACAGCCAGCTCAAGAAAAAGGAGAAGATGAGCTGAGTGGGGGAAGATTAAATATCCCTCATTAATCCTCCAGCAGGAGCGTGGAGGGCTATTTCCAGCCACATGGAAAGCATGTTGTTTGTCTGTCTGTGCATGAGTTTTAGCATGAGAAAGTTTATCCCAGGGTGAAAGACTATTCTTAAAGGTAAAGATCTGCTCTCTGATAAGTCCCTTCTCTAGAATAACAGGAATTAAAAGCACATGTGGGGAGCTCTGTTGGGCTCTGAAGGCACAAACCTGCTGGACATCTGGATTTGATAAAGATGCAGCTGTGTGGAGACAGTAAAAACATGTGTTTACACTAAAACCAGGAGCAGAGACAGGGAAATGAATCAAGCCCCATCCTAATGGCAGCTGTGGCATTTTCACTTCATCAAAACCAGACAGCACCAGGAACAAACCCCTTTCTGTGTCCTTGTTTATCTTGGTTTTTATCAACTTAAAGATGTATGTAACCTTTGTTTTCATTAGCTTTTGCTGGCTAGGAGTGAAAACAGTAACCAAAGCTGGAACCAGAGTCAGGCAGATAAGGGCATTAAGCAGTTTTCAGACATCTTTCTATTTTTAACATCATTCTGTGGAGCATTTCAGGTTTTACTCCACTTCCTTTTTTTTTTTTTCCTCCTTAAGCCTCCACTCCTAAGCCTGTCCCACTTACCAGAGTCTGTCTCCCCAGCTGTGATTCCTGCTTGTAGTCCCTAGGCACAGCCCATAGAGACCATGGTGCTATTTTTTGTTTCCCCCAAGCACATCTTTAGAGCCCTCACTGTTGACAGTACCCTGAGTTTTTGAAAGAGGGCCCATTGTTCCTTCCTCTTGTCTGTGCTGGTGGGAGCTGTTGTGTTACATGCTCAGTCCAACAGCGTTTGCCGTCAAAAGTGGTTGATGATTGCCAGCAGTTACCACCCACCGTGATACCATAATTCCTCTCTGTGCCTAGGACAGAGGTTTGCAGTACCTCCTTGTCTGGAAACTGACTGATTTCTCTGACGCTAGCACTAAAACAGATCCTAACATTCCTCAGGATGAGGGATACATTTTTCTTTTGGATTTATGTGGAGTTGACACAACCTAAGACTTACAGTCATGCTGGAAAGCATGGTCTTGTGAACCCTTGCATCTGATTTCCTTTCCTACCATCTTGTTTCCTTCATCAACTGAGACCTGAGGCAAAATTTGTGTGAGAAATGGAAGATTTTATTATTGTCTAGAAAAGAAATGACTCTGGCCTATTGCTCCACAAATAAGTTACTCCACAATGAGTACATGGACCATTAGGCTGAAGAAAGGAATAATAAAAGCAGGTAGGTGAGGATGACATGGCATCGGATGACTTCCAGGACAGTTTGATCCCCATGGGCATCTGCCAGGCCCAGTGGGAAAGGTGACAGATAGCTCCTGAGAGACTCCAAAAGCACAGACATGACAATATCCACAGCTCTCACTGTCACTAGACAGTCGTGTGAAGGAAGGGCCCTTTCCCCATCCATTTTTTTCATCTTTAGAGGATATTTGGAAAGACCAAAAGGAGAAGGAATATGGCTTACCCAAACTGGGGTAGCCACATACTTGTAAATAATCTGAATTAAAAAACTGAGGTTGTGTCTGAGAAATCATAGAATGGTTTGAATTGGAAGAGGACTGTAAAGCCCATCTAATTCCACCCCTCTGCCATGGGCAGGGACACCTCCCACCAGACCAGGTTGCCCAAAGCCCCATCCAGCCTGGCCTTGGACACCTCTCGGGCATCCACAGCTTCTCTGGGCAGCCTGTTCCAGTGCCTCACCACCCTCTGAATAAAGAATTTCTTCCTTACACATGGAATGCACAAGGTTCTGTTGAATGCACCTGTAAATTACACCCTACCAGATACACTGATAAAAGACACAGAACCACAGAATGGCTGAGGTTGGCAGGAATCTGGAGGTCATCCTGTCCCACCCCTCTGCTGCAGCAGGGCCCAGAGCAGGGTGCCCATCCCCACATCCAGGCAGCTTCTGGAGATCTCCAGAAGCATCTGGAGATGCTGGAGGAGCCCCCCAGGCTCTGGACAGCCCCTGCCAGGCTCCATCCCCGGCCAGCCCAGCAGGGCTGCCTGGTGCTCAGATGGAACGTCCTGGGCTCCAGGCTGTGCCCAGCACCTCTTGGCCTCACATTCAGACTTGCAGTATCACTCAGATTTGATCCTGAAATCAGTTTTGACCTTTTTGGCTTGTTTCAGGCAATTTATCTTTCTCTGGTCAAGACTTGAGAAAGACCTCTGCAGCCTTTTTAATGCCCTATCAAGGTGCATCATTATTCTGGGATGTGGTTCCTGAGACATGGATTAATGGGAGTACAAGGATGGGTGGCCCCTTTTGTCATCTCATAGCTGCAGAGTACAACAAGGGGCTGGGGAAATTCAGCGGTTGGAGTTGGACTTGCACCTCTTACCAAGGAGCAGAAAGTCCAGGTGTCTCCATGGTCTGACCTGTGTTAATCAGACTGGCAGGCACCTTTTTCCATGGATCTCCCTGTGTTTCTGTGCAGAGAGGACGAGGTCCAAGCCCATCCTGACAGGGACGCACCCCGTCAACACCACGGTAGACTACGGCGGGACCACATCCTTCCAGTGCAAAGTCCGCAGCGATGTCAAACCCGTCATCCAGTGGCTGAAGAGGGTGGAGTACGGCACAGAGAGCAAGTACAACTCCACCATCGATGTTGGGGGACAGAAATTTGTTGTGCTGCCCACCGGGGAGGTCTGGTCCCGTCCCGACGGTTCCTACCTGAACAAACTGATGATTACTCGAGCCAAGGAGGAGGACGCGGGGATGTACATTTGCTTAGGGGCAAACACCATGGGCTACAGTTTTCGCAGTGCTTTCCTCACAGTTCTGCCAGGTGAGTTATACTTTGATTTCCCTAGTCTGAACCAATAGCCTAGTGTTATGGCATTATTCCCAACTGCTGGTGCCCATTATGCTCCGTGGGCTTCTGTGATGCTGTGCTGATGGAGGCTAGTCCAGGTTTAGAAAGAATTAGCAAACTGGGGGACTAAATTAGCTAAAATCAGGGACTAAATTAGCACTGATTTAAATCTGCCCCTGCTGAATCTCTCTTGCTGATGGTCCCATTTCTCCCTCCCTTGGGTACAATGATTCCAGCAAATAAAATGAAATGAAAATAAAATGAAGGATGTGCTCCTGCATGAAACAGGTGCCAGGAAATCATACTGCAGTTGCAGGCTTCATCGACAGGGTGCAGGAGGTGAGAGGGGAATGGAATAGCAGCACAGGTTCGCAGCCCCATTCCCTGACATCTCTCCTTTCTCTGGCTCTTATTTGTACTGCTTTACTGGTAAAAGAAAACAATAATGTGGGACCATAAAGTGAGAGAAGAATAAAAACTGTCCCGGTCACAAGGAAAGGAAAAGAATGAGTGTGAAAGAGAGAATGATCGATTAGTTAAATTCTTACCCAATGATCTCCTGAGGACCATTGTACCAAACTCACAGCTGCTTCCTGCTCCCCCCCAGGCCCCAGAGCTGGTGGCTGTGTCCAAATGAGGCTGTATTGTGTGCGTTTCGGACACACCATTCTCACTTTATCATTTATTCCTTTGCTTCCTGAGCAGTGCAAGTCTGCCCTGATAAATATTTTTCATTGAAAAGGGCATCTCCTTCTGCCTCATTTGGACATGTGACTCTAGCTTTAGAACCACCAGCTTTATAACAAAAATCCATCTTTCTGCTTTTTCCTCCCTTTTCGTCACCCATGCAAGGCCAGCACAGCTAAGACAGTGCAGGAGCTGGAGCCAATATCAGAACATTTTATGCTGTCAGATCTAATGGGGTGTCTCTGGTCAAGATATCGGTGAGACACCATTAACTCTCCTAAGCTGATGAAACTGGGCTTTCTGTGTAGGTGGTGGGGAAAATGCTGTTGACTCTTATAACTAAGGCAGCATGGCTACTTCTGCTCTCTGATTGCCACACTCCGTGTCTCGGTCGCGGTCAAGAGTCAACAACATGAATTTAGACACCAGCAGCAGGTTGCCAAGTAAAAGGAAAGTCTGACTGCTCCTAGCCTCTTCTTCTGTATCACTTAGATTTAGGACTACACTTCAGCTAGAAAGCTTCAGCTTTTTTTTTTTTTTTTTTTTTTTTTCTTCTTTTTTACTGAAGGACAATGCTGCATGGGTGGGATATAACTCAAAGCCTCTGGGAGTTTCCAAACTATGAAAGTCCGATCCAGCTCCCATGAAATCAGTGGGAGACTTTCCATTGATTTAAGTACGACTACAATGAGGCCTCGTACCAGAACCAGTGCCCGAAGGCCTGTTGTTATTGGCAGTGACGAAAAAGGAGAACCCAGCTTGCCCTCTGAAGGAAAGATGTGGTTGCAAGGCCATGAGTTAGAAAAACACCATTTTGCTTGTAAATCGATCAGATTTGACACAGACAGCTCAGAAAAACAGCATGCATGAATATCAAAACACTTTTGTGTCAGCCCAGCAGAGGATTTTTGCCAAGCAGCGCGAAGACTGTTGTTTTTGTGGTCAGCTGATGGGGCAGTTCCCTGATCCTGTCTTCCTTTGAACAAGGCGCTGAACCAGATGACCTCCAGAGTCCCTTCCCAGCCTAAACTGTTTTGTCATTTCCAGTGTTGATGGGTGAAAGTTTGTCTCTGGAGGTCAGCAGTATACATCCTCCTGACTTCAGAGACCAGAACGTATATATTTAACATTTCAAACTACCCATAGGATTATTTGTCAAAGAGAGAAAAAGACATTAGGGTCTTAAAGAAGTCTGGCTTGAAAGTTAAATGATATATATGTTTGAAAACAACGTGCTGGGCTGTTTGGATAGCCTCAGTGTTTCTGAGTGCTATCCTGCAAGCTGAACTCTGCAACTAGGTATTTTTCAGGCCTTTTGGAAACACCAGCTGGTAGCTATCTACACAGGGACTTTGATAGCTAGGATCCTACCCTAGGACTATTTGGAGCCTATAAATCAGGCTGAGGAACAGGAGTGGCTACTGAGGGATGTACAGGCTGCCAACAGCACAGTGAGCAGGGAGAAGGCAGGTGTGAAGGATGCTTTCTGAAGCATCTTATCTGCTCTGTTAACTGAATTTTCTGTTCGTGGAAAGCCAGTGGCAGCTCTAAAGAAACTGGGGGAGGTGGAGCCCATTTGGGATTGAGAGTTGGACACGTGCTTTAATATCATATGAAATTTCAGCTCCCCATTGCTTGGACACCAAGGAGAGGACATCAGCTCACCTGTGTTTTTCAACCTTTCTCCCAGCCATACCAAAAACTCAATACAGCCCCTCCAAATCACCACATTCGTGCTGCCTACCCTGTCAGAGCATTGCTGAGTAGCTCCAGTAGCACTAGACAAGGGTACTAGAGAGTGTCTAAAGTCCACGCAGACACAGCTACGCCTGGTAAAGACGAGTGGGCAATGTGCTGTGGCTCCTGAGTAACCTGGTTGTGCTTCCTGGGCTGCTGACATGGAGGAATTGCTGACATGTGCTGTGCTGTGTCCTCCAGGCTGGGCACTGAAGCCCACTCCATCGCAGAGTGAAGGTGTTAGGAAATTCTTGGGCTGGCTCTAGTGCATCCATTAAAACTTGGATAAGAAAGTTGAAAAATCCCCCAAAGGCCCCCTTTCTGACCCCTAAACCAGAGAAAATGAGTTGCTTGTCCTTCCAGGAGCACTGAAAAGCAAAACAGTTACCAAACTTCATGTGCTGGCTTGATTTCTCCCTTGTTACTTGGTCTGGCAGGGTTGCCAGACAGCCTGTACAAAAGCCAGCCCAAGTGTGACATCTGTTACGAATTTGCTTTGCCTGCATTTAATTAACTCTTTCTGTCTCTTCCCTGCCACGATGTCCAGATCCCAAGCCTCCAAGTGCACCTGTGCCCCCCTCCTCGGCCAGCAGCCTTCCCTGGCCCGTGATCATCGGCATCCCCGCCGGAGCCGTCTTCATCTTCGGGACAATCCTCCTGTGGCTTTGCCAGACCAAGAAGAAACCCTGCTCCCCACCAGCTGCTGCCCCCGTGCACCGGCCGCAGCCCCGGGACAGGATCTGCGTCTCCCAGGTCCCTGACAAAGACTGCATCTCCTCCATAAACTACGAGGAATACGTCGCCCAGCAGCAGCATTTACTGTCCCAAGGGCCTGCACTCGCCCCAGCCATGGCATCCAAAATGTACCCAAAGATTTACACGGACATCCATACCCACACTCACTCGCACGTGGAAGGCAAAGTCCATCAGCACCAGCACATTCAGTACCAGTGCTAAGAGGGTGGCCGTGTACAGTAGCTCATTTGGGCTTTTCCCCCTGGTACCTCAGAAGAGACTGCTCTGAGTCAGCTCACACTGCCAGCAATAGGCAAAGCAGACAGAAAAGATTATATATATAATTTTAAATATATATATACATATATATATAATTGTATATGCGTGTGTGTATGTGTGTATATATATATGTGTATATATCTATATCTATCTATATAAATATATATATAATAGAGAAAGACAGAGAGAGAAAAGAGATTTTTTTTTTTATTATTGCAATCAGGATGTAGCCAAGGAATAATGAAGGAACTCCAAATCTCAGCAGCTAGGCAGCCATCTCCAGCAGTGGAGCCTTCCTGGATTTTTTACTCAAGGTGGCGGCAAGTAAGACAGGATGCAGGGATGTGAACCACCACCTCCTTCCTCGTGTAGCTTAAAGGAGCAAGAAAAGGCAACCGTGGTGCTTTTCCAGGTGGGCAGCCCCGTTCCCCTGGCTGCTGCACATCACTTGTTTTGGTGGGAAGCCCCCAGACCTGTCCCACTCAGGAGCACAAGGGAAAGCCTTTTCCATCCGAGTGACTCAAGCGCTAAAGTACCTGAGGTTTAGTGCCAAAGCATGAGGAGACATGACCAATTCACCTCTTCCAGGGGAAAAAAAATAACATGAGAGTCTGGAAAAGCTAATTTCTGTTCACAACTTGAAATGTTGAATGTTTCTCAAGCGCAGTGTTTCGTCTGCAATGCTAACTGAGCTGCTTGGTTTGATTTCTGCAAGTCACATTTCTCATGGAGGGTTCTGCCAAGCAAACCTCACTGCCCCGGTCCTAGGACTCAGTGCCACTGCCAGGAAAAAGGAAGGAAGGAAGAAAGGAAGGAAGGAAAGCAAGAGGAACATTGTACAGAACACCTTTATATTTATATTTAAGAAATAATAATAATTAATAATAATAATAATTGAACTGCTGATGGCGAAGAAAGCAAAACACACTGTCCTTCTCTGATGGCTTACAGTGACAAGCTACTGGATTTTCTACATCAATGCAAAATACATATAAACATTAGAAAAAGGAGAAAGAAAAAAAAAAGAGAATGAAATAATAATCTTGTAGGAAAAATTGCATTTGAGAAATATTCACCTAGGTTGTGTGTGGTTGCCCCCTCCCCACAGATAACAGTCTGGAAATGATACAACTACATTTCAGTTCAAACTACAGTAAAAACAGAAAGAAAAGCGAGTAAATAAGGACCGTATTAAATACCTATATGGACTGGAAATGAATCCAATTACAAATATAAAACCTTTGTAATTCTATATAGAGTTTAAACAAAGTCATGTATATTTAATTTATTTTGTTAAACAAGAAAAAAAAATGTATGATATTTTCCTCAAAACAGGCATTTCTATACATATTTTTGATCAAAGAAAATAAAGATTTTTTTTTTCAGGTTCTATAGATGCCATGCTCAGAAAACACTCAATGTAGCATGTAACCAACCATATTTCTCCTAACTTGGAGGTCATCTATCTGTATGCTTACTCACACCAGCTACATGTACCCTCCTAGCGTCACCTCAGGTACTGCCAGTGCCACCATTTCCATTAGAAATTTGCGTTTTCCATCCTTTATATTCTGATTGTGAGTGTGTGCAGTGCCCATATCACTTCCCATGGACCCCTTGTCATCTCCAGTAGCAAAGATCTCTGCTCACAGGGAAATCTGTTTCACAATGCTTTTTTAAAAAAATGATTTTTTTTTTTTTGGTTTTTGGGCAGGGCATGTTGGGGGGTGGGGGAGAGGTTACATTTGTGTTTTTTTTTTTAACCACAAACCTGCAGGGGTTTTTCTTTTCAAAAGAAAATTTTGTAAATCAAACATCGTAATTTGTGAGCCTGTAAAATGAGCTTCAGCCTCAGGGTCCCTGGGAGGGGAATACATGCCACGGGGGTGAAACCCTTCATTTGTAAATGCTGCTGTTAGGCTAGAGGAACCAGCAAGGGTGAGCTGGGTGCAGCAAGGGGAGCGCGCGGGCAGCTGCTTCCCTCAAGAAGGAAGATGCAAACCTTTCTGCTGCAAGTGGAGAGAGGCAGCTAACCCTGTAGTGGCCATGATTTTCCTTAGACAAGGCAGGTTCAGTATCACAGCAACTGTTTGCTGTTCAATTGTCGTTTCACGGGGAACGTGCCAATTTTAAAGTTTGAAATTACTTCCTTCTCAGGCCTGTTCTGCAAAGAGAAATCTTCAGCAAACCAGCTGCTCCAGTTTAAAGTGAAACACTTCATTTAACCTGAAACAAAACAGTGCTTTAGGCTTTTCTTTTTCTCTGAATGTTTCCAAAATTATTTGCTCTGGGTTGACCTGCAGTGATTTTTCTGCTGGTTTGTTTGGATCATCAGCAAACCAAACAGCTCCCTGTTTGCTCAGCCGTAGCACTGTGAGATGGGGCCCTCATTCAGCAAAGCACAAACGCTCCCGTTTTCCTTCACCAACACACGCTGCTCCAAAAAATCCCCTTTTTGCCTTAGCCACCCAGGTCAGTGGCCCTGTCCCTGCCCACTGGTAGCAAGATGGTTTTTCTGTAGAGATTATAACTACACAACCTATATATATACATATATATATAAACATATGTGTATATATAGTGGAAGCAGGAGGGTTCAGTTAAACTTTGTTAACACAAATTTTAGAAGCCTCTAACAGTTAAGTTCAGATCCTGGGTATCTCTGCATACATCCCTGCAGCCTCACGGAAGCTTAAATATGAGCACTTAGGGCTCCGCTTGGATATAAGGCATGATGTAGGCAGTGTTCTTAATGGCTATATTTTATTGAGTAATTTCATGGAAAAAGCCAAAAAGCCTCTATACACTAATTGTGTCACCTTATTTTGAAGGCAACACGTGGCTATTCCCATGAGAGATTAAGGGCTACATCTCATAACTCACGCCTATGGGAAGCTACTTCTTGCACTGTGGTAGGCACCAAACTACCACACATCTCAGCAGTGTTCGGAGCCTGGCAGATGACAGGATTCACCTGGAAGCCCATGGTCCTTTCTCAGCTATCTGTATCTGTGCTGCAGCCAGAGAACACGTGGTTCAGGCTGTGATAGCAGTACTGATACCAGCTTCAAAGGAAGAGGTGCATAATTGGTTTTATATGGTTCAGCTCTATGCAAACCCTAAGAGATGGTCTTATGACCCTTTTTTCAAATGGCAGCTATATCACTGACCCTCAGAGAGAGAGTGAGTGGGCTAAAAGAAACAATCCTGCATTTCCCACACGGCACAGTCTTCCACACTGAGCATTACGCTCTCCACTGGTGCCTTCTACCCCTGTACTCCAGGCACTCAGTAGTGTTGTATCATGAAATCAGCACTTCACATATTGCCAGATGGCTCAGGTGGAAGAAGTGAAAGGCTTCCTCCTGCCCGTAAAAGCTCCAGCCTTTAAACACAAACCTCTAGCAATGTGAACAGAGAGGGAACCTATCAGTAAGCCCCCCAGCACTGGACAATGCAAGGTCTGAACACAGCTGCAGCAAAGCCACTGCACTCAGAAGGCAGCTCTGGGGTGAGATGCTATAGAGGTCTCGATTTGCACATGTATTGTATATATTGTCTGGGTCTTGCGCTGGCTTGCTGGGCCTGGGTGGGTTTTGTGTTTCAAGGAATTATTTCGCCTCTAAGGAACACCCATAAGTGCTCTTACGAGTTACTCTGTCCCATGCCTACTGCATGCCATTTCTTTTTAGGGCTTGATTGTGCCTTGCATGTATTGCAAAGTCTTCCTTAGCCTAAATAAATTCTGCCAGGTCCTGCTCATGTCTGATTTTTCTTTTTTTCATCAGTGGGACAAGATTTGAATTCATCTTTGCTCATGAACACAGGGCATTTACAGAAAACCATAGTCTTGCTATTAACTACTGATCCTATTTTGAACACAGTTTTTTATTTTATGCATAGGTACTTGTATACGTATAGGCATATAGATGTACATGCCAGGCTGTGATACAGAAGGCAGTTGTACTTTTAAAGCCACGGGGCTTCAAAGATCAAAGGAATTTTAGGCTTAAAGCTCTCCATCTCTGTTTACTTTATTTGCATTACAGATCAAACATGGCCTTACATGTCGGTTTGTGTGTGGCATTTTTAAACTTTGTATGGACAATCCCTGTACTGTTAGCCCTTTTAAACTGAAAACCTTTATCAGACATTTACAAATAAAAAGTGATGTGATTTTCAAACAGTGGCAAATACAGTAACTGAAGACATCAAAAACAGATGGGACTGGCACAGCATTCGTATGGCTGTGCTGTGCAATAAAAGCTAGAAAAAAGTAGTGCTCCTAGGTGATAGCACTGTATAAATTTAACATTTTTGGGGGGAAAGGGCGGTGGTGTATCTGTGTGTGAGTGTGTGCACATGCATGTGTGTATGTATACAGGAGGAATACATGTATATGCTGCCATGATGAAGCACACAGTACTGCAGAACTATTTTTGCACCATGACTTGATCTGATGATTTGTGTAGGTGCTATGAATCCAGAGGAGACTTTTTAGAGTGGTTTGGAAAAGTTTTCTATTTTTTTAGTGAATAAAGACTATTTTTGATCTCTTCACCTCCATAGCCAAACGCCATAGATGCAACGAGAGCCAAACTGCAATTAGGAAGATGAAAATTTAGGGTTGCTGGACTTGATGGCAGAAATGCAGTGTCCAGGGCAGAGCAGGGATTTCAGGATGAAGCCCAGCACTTCCAGCCATTTGTGGTGAATGTGTGGGTGCCTCACTACTCTCTCAGAGGCAGCAAATGTCCAAGCTGTAACACTTTCAAGTTCAGCTGGCCCTCACCCAAGCTTCATCTTGGCCTGACCTGGACCTTGGACCCAAACCGCTGGGTGAGGAAATGGTACACACATGCTGAGAAAGAGGAAATATTTCTCTGTCAGCTCCACTTATGTGACTGTCTGAAACTCTTCAGAGGTTTGAAATAATGGAATAAAGCCCCTGGGAGACGTAGCAGTGGGCATAAACTGGGAGATGGTCAAAGGCTGATGGAGAATTTTTCGTGGCTTTGCTGTCTAGGTATCACCTCTGCCAATTTGGAGTACATTGTGTGCCCAGGCCTCCAAATGCCCCGAGGTCAGTGATTATTCCACACAGAACACCCATTCCAGCTCTTGCAGATGCCAGTTGAAAATAAATAAATAAATAAATAAAAACACCACAGCATCCATTGGGAAATCAATTAGAAGCATGGAGACATTGTAAAACTTACATCATTGTTTTGGCGGGCCTATTGGCAGAGAAAGACGTGACAGGAGTTACTGGCCAGAGCAAGAAGCCAGGCACATTTAAATGGGAAATGCACACATTTTGGAAGGAGCTATCAAGGGAAGGGATAGAGACTGCACCTCTCATAAGCACCAAATCAAAGCGGGGTGCTTTGTGGGTGCTTCTGTCAGGTGCAAGGCATTGGGAACATCATTAGGCCGAAGGGATACATCTGGGCCACATGGGCTCATCCAGCGGTCCCTTCTGGCCTTGAAGACACATAGCTGGGCTGAAGCAAGGAGATGAAAGTTTGGGTCCCTGCTCCAGGCCGGGCAGGGGCTGGTGAGAGCAGTAACCACACGTGTGCAGTGCAGGCCTGACAGCACCGCCTGGCACGTGGGCCTGGGCTGCACACCCAGCTCTGCTCCTTACAGCTCTGCTTGCTTCTGGGCTCCGAGTGTGCCGTCTCAGCATTTTCTGGCTTATTACTGAAGTAATGGTGTTATTTATATAAAACGGAGTTGTGCATCAACGTTTACTGTGTCTGCAAATAACCCCTTGTGTAAACAGCAGCAGAGCGCTGTGTGTACGCACATCCCACTCCTCCACGCTATCAGCGTTCTGGAAAATCTTGCTGGATTTGCTGCAGTTAGTGTCATGAAGGATTTACATGTGCATATAAATGTAAACACATGTGGTTAATGGCCTGCTGACTTGCTTAAACTTGTTGGTGGTTTAAGTGTCTTCAATCCCTTATATGCTGTGCATGTGAGGGAGCAGGATCCTGCTCTGCTCTCTCCCTGGTGTGGACACAGTGCTGTCCTGGTGCTCTTTTGGATATGTGTGGGCTCACTCCTTGGGTTGTGGGGTTTGGCTATAGTGAACTCTGCAGGTCCCCTACACACACCTGGTCTCGATGCATGCCAGGCCACAAAAATGGCACCTACGTGAATGAGTCAGGAAGGTACCCGCTTGACAACAGCTAGGGTCTGCCGACCAAATGTGCTGGGATGCGCCCGGACTGTTGGCCAGGTTGATTCAGCACTGGGGACCTGGGAGAAAATGCCACTAAGTAGGGATCCGTAGATATTTCAGACTTTCTATTTACCCTGTCTTACCAGAAAAGTGTTTCTTGGGCTAAGTTTTGTAGATTACAAAAGTTTATTATAAATGCCAAAAAAAAAAAAAAAAAGGGGGGGGTAAGGGGGTTATTGTAGTTGAGAATTAAACCTTTTTTAATTTTTAAAATACTACTGGTGCATTGACTATTAAGTGGGACACATATATTTGTGTGGAGTCTGGAGGAAAGAGAATGTCCACTTTACTTTTTTTTTAGCACAGGCAGCTTTGTGTGTGCTCACCAGCTTCTGATCAATGAGAGCAATACATGGTACGATGACCTCTATTTGTTCCTTACTTTTGTAAGTAAGTAATTTGTAACTTAACTTTTACACTTCTTCTTCCTTTTCTCTTTTCACTTCTGTCAGTCTGTTATAATTAGGATTTAATGTATTCCACAATATACATGGACATCAGCAAAGTAATGAATATTCTTTCATTTTTCCATTTTAGTTAACCAAATCCAGTCTGCAGTTCTATTTCTATCCAAGCCAATCTATGCTTTGGTGAGAGGAGTAATAAATAACACTTTAGAGCTGACTTCAAAATGCCTTTTTTTCCTTTGATCTGAGTAATTAAAGAGTCAAGCTGCTGTTTCTGAGCATTTTCTGATGGAATTACACGAGTTACACAGCTCTTCATTTGTATGTCATTAAACATTATGTTTTATTGCTGCTGTTCAAACAATTAGTACCTAAATACGCCCCATATTCTCATAAAGAGGCAGTAGCAGTGCTAATGTTAATGCCCTGGTTAACAGTTTGTTTCCATCCAGAGTCCACCATCATGCTTGAATGCCATTTAATCTCAATCAGATCTTTACTGATGGCCTTCTGAAGTCGTTCTCTTCTGCAGTCATTTAACTGCGCAGCGAAGTGAGGATAAGTCGAACAATAAAGTTAAGTAAAAATGGCATTTCTCGTAACACAGGCATTTTTTAAAGTTCATTACAAGTTTTGGTTATAAAAAGGCCAGTGCTTCATGGTGATCAGTCATTTTGACATTTTTATGGTGTTTTTATTACCCCTGGCTCATTTCCATACTAAAGGGAACATTTGTAACAATACTTGCTTGCTCTGTTATGATTAGGATTGTGCTTTTGCCGCGCTTTGTTCGGCTGTTGCTGCTCTCAGTAATGCTCTTGGCACACGTCCTCCCAGACCCTACGGTGTGTTTATTCAAAGGGAAGGAAAAAGAAGTGTCTACTAAAACAATAAACTACTACTGCTTGCGTTAACATGGCCATAACTTCCTTGTTCTGCAGACAATCAGTTAGCAAAGCTGTTAGGTAAACTTGCTCCTTTGCTGTTGAAAAAATAAATATTCATGAATCTTGCAGCCGTGTTTTCCTGTGCTTTATTATCGGGTTGAAAATGGTGAAGGATTTTAAAGCTAATAATTTAATCAGAGAGATGAGGATGGAGGCCCAGATCCTGAAACCAGTGGGAGCTGCGATCCTAAATAGTCCTCAGTAAGTATTTAAGGCTGTGTTATTTCAATATTGATGTTTTGACTCATCCTGCTTAAGACAGGAGGTGAATGTGAAAAGAGGAGTTGTGAATGATAAAGAGGGACAAGTAAAATAAAAGAAGCAGATAAAATGAAAGACTATGATTAAAATAAGAGTAGCAGCGTTGCTGTTGCGTGCTGTCACCTTCACCTGCCCACAGACCCAGGACAAACCACAGCTCGGTTCCCATATAACAGGGCATTTCTTTACAGCACTACACTGGTGAACTCCTTTAATATGAAATATGGAATCAAAGAATAATTAAGGTTGGAAAAGACCTTCAAGATCATCTGGTCCAACCATCACCCTACTACCAATGTCACCCACTAAAACCTGTCCCTAAGCACCAGGTCATGTTCTTGCTTTGCCTGTATCTCAAAGTGGAGTAAGGATGTGTTTTCAGGCCTGGGTTCATCCTACTTAAATGGGATAGTGAAGTTAGAGACAGATTAATCATGAGTTTCCTTAAATAAGGCAGAAAAACTGGCACTTCCCAAAGTTGGTTTGGCTTTTGGGTGGAGATTAAGACCCCCAAAGGTGATTACTGGTCCACTGAAGACAACGAGCTAAATTAGATTTGTTATCCAGGTACCATGAAACAAAAGGATGAATCTGGGTTTTGGTACAAAACAGAGAATTGGAAAATGACAGAAATACACTGCAGATTGATAAAGGGCCCATATACATTAAAATTTCCCAAGTCTGGTAGAGACCTAAGCAAATAATCGTGACTTTCTTTATGCTACTCAGTCTCAGAGCCTGGGAGGTTGGTGTTCTCCCAAACCTTTCCTGCCCATGAATAGGAAACAAAGGGAGGGAATCCATGGGGAGAGGCTGCTGGGTGGGATTGCCTGCTGGTACAAGCCCCAGCTTTCATCGCACTGCTCCTGCCGCAGTGTGCCGGCCCTGGCCCCGCGCTGCCAGGAACATAAGCTGCCCTCTGTCATGGTTCAATGAGAGCAAAGAGCTCTCCTGCTTGACATCAGAAGAGACGCATTTTGATGTTTATCTGAAAGCCTCTTCCAAATGTGCGTGCACAATAGAGGCTGCGTGTGAGGACAGGTCCGGACGATAGCAGAGAGAAGTGATAAAACGTTTCTCTCTCGTTTTGGTGTGTTAAGACGTAATACTCCCATATGCCAGAAAAGATTTGTAAGGGGCCATAAAGTCAGCACAACTCTGTTTGCACTTGCTTTTTGGTTCCTTGACAGTGATGCAGGGGCCTCTGTGCAAACACGGCTCTGTGGTTAGCATTTAAAGCGCCAGTCCCTGCAGCATTTAAACTGATTTGCCATCTTGGCTGGAACAGGCATCTACGAAACAAGAAGGCAGAAAATTGCATGGACAAAAAAAGGTCTGAATAGAAGCTAAAATCAAGGAAATTCTGCTTGTTCAGTAATTTTAGAAGATACTATGGTTTACACCTCATCATTTCCAGAGTACCTATGCTCTGGCCACTACTGCCTACTTGTTTTCACTACATCCCCGTGAATCACAGAAATAACCACTCTCCATGCAGAAGAGACATTGAAATACAGAGAAACAAAGAGTTTATTTAAGCAGTAAGAGCAGAGCTTTGGACTTAGATTCACACAAAATTTCCAAATTAATGTCTGTCCAAAGCCATTTCTCATTATCTCATTAGTGCTTCTTTGACACAGGGAAATCACAGGGCATCTGCTGTCTCTCAGAGCTTCAAGCAAAGCAAGACCAAGATGAACTAGTTCCGAAATCTGAGCTGGTGACAGTGAATATAGTAGAGTGGCTGTATACCAGTGCTGAACTCAGTTTCTCACTCAACAGAAGGTACAGCTAGTTTGTTATTCCATGCAGCGCCCTGATTTATCCTGATTTTTCCCAAAACATGGTCTAAAAGCCATGGATGAAAAGTGGAACTGTTCCCCCCAGCCACCAGGTGAAGCCATCAGAGTGGTTTGGGTTGAACTTGGCCTCATAGAAGTC